AATTCTCGCCTCAATTCAAACCTCCCACTAAAAGTTTTTGGAAGCACTGCCTTTGTGCATTCTCATCACCGAAATAAACTTGAACCACGAGCAATAAAGTGTGTTTTCATTGGGTACTCACCCACTCAAAAGGGCTATAAATGTTATGACCCATTCACAAAACGGGTCTATGTTAGTCTGGATGTCACCTTCTTCGAAAAAACACCATATTTCCAGAAACCATCTCTTCAGGGGGAGAACTTGAGTGAAGATCGGTTGGATCGTGAATTCTTAGAATTTAACCTCTCCACCACTGACCAAAAAGCCACTCTACCTTCTAATGTGCTATATACAGAAGGAAACTTGAATCCAAGGGGAGATGTCGAATCACAAAATGATAAAGAGATACTAGTTTACTCACGGAAGCCTAAATCAAAGTATAAAGAAACTCTCACACCTGAAGCACCAAAAGAGTCAGAACCGACGATAGGACCTGAAAAGAACTCCTCTGTCGAACTCATATCTCCGGAAAATGATTTGCCTATTGCTCTCAGGAAACAACCTCGGTCATGTACCCTCCATCCTATTTCAAATTTCATATCTTATAATGCTCTATCTACTAAATTTCGAGCCTTTACAACCAATCTTGATAAAACAGAAGTTCCAAGAAATATTCAGGAAGCTTTGGAGTCACCCAAATGGAGAGAGGCAGTAATGGAAGAAATGAGAGCCTTGAAGAAAAATGAGACTTGGGAGGTAGTGAATCTACCAAAAGGAAAGAAATCAGTAGGTTGCAAATGGGTGTTCAATGTGAAGTACAAGGCAGATGGGACAGTAGAACGGTATAAAGCTCGTCTAGTTGCCAAAGGGTATACACAAACATACGACATTGACTACACAGAAACATTCACCCCGGTGGCAAAGCTAAATACAGTTCGGGTTCTTCTATCCCTTGCAGTGAATTTAGACTGGCCTCTTCAACAACTTGACGTCAAGAATGCATTCTTAAATGGAGAGTTAGAGGAAGAGGTCTACATGACAATACCACCAGGATTCAACCAAAGTGGGAAGGAAAATCAGGTTTGTAAACTCAGGAAGTCTCTATATGGCCTCAAACAATCACCGAGGGCATGGTTTGATAGGTTTGCAAAAGTGCTGAAGAGTCAGGGATATCAGCAGGGACAATCAGATCACAACATGTTTTTTCATCAGTCTAGAGATGGTACTAAGACAATATTGATTGTATATGTTGATGATATAATCCTAACTGGAGACAACATTGCTGAGATGGAAAGATTAAAGAAGTGTTTGACCGCAGAATTTGAAATAAAAGATCTTGGACAAATGAGGTATTTTTTGGGTATGGAGATTGCAAGATCAAATAAGGGCATCAGTATGTCTCAACGGAAATACATACTTGACATGCTAAGAGAAACTGACATGTTAGGATCTAAATCAAGTGACACTCCTATTGAATCTGGAAAGATGAAGGACACAGGGAGCCCAGTGGAAATAGATAGATATCAAAGATTAGTTGGAAAGTTGATCTATCTCTCACACACTAGACCTGATATTGCATTTGCAGTCAGTGTGGTCAGTTAACACATGCACTCTCCCAAAGAAGCTCATCTGGGAGCAGTATACAAAATTCTCAGATATCTGAAAGGCACTTCTGGGAAAGGATTATTTTTCGGAAAAAATAAAAGGATGGGAATAGAAGTATTTACTGATGCAGACTGGGCTGGATTAATTGAAGATAGAAGGTCTACTTCTGGCTACTGTACATTTGTATGGGGAAACTTAGTGACTTGGAGAAGCAAGAAACTAAATGTAGTGGCTAGAAGCAGTGCCGAAGTTGAATTCAGAGCTGTGGCTCAAGGGATTTGTGAAGGGCTGTGGATAAAGAAACTCTTGGAAGAACTGAAAGTGAATGTTGAACTTCCAATCAGACTCTATTGCGACAACAAAGCAGCCATCAGTATTTCCCTTAATCCAGTACAACATGACAGAACCAAGCATGTAGAAGTGGACAGGCATTTTATCAAAGAAAAAGTAGAAGATGGGATTATTTGTATGACATATGTCCCTACAACTGAGCAAATCGCGGATATCTTCACAAAAGGATTGTCACGACAAAGTTTCAACGAACTCCACAGCAAGTTGAACATGATCAACATCTACAGTTCAACTTGAGGGGGAGTGTAGAAAGTCATATAATATGTAAATTATAATTTATTTAGATTGTTATTTTTGGTTAATTGGTAGGTTGATTTATTTCCTTTCTTAGGTAATTATAGTTTCCTTTTCCAATTTACATTGTATAGTATAAATAGGAGGTATAGGGTTGTGTTTTGTAGAATTGTGGAATAAAAATTTCAATATTCCAATTCCGTTTTCATAATCAGATAGAGAATATCATACTGTAGACTAACATGATTTTGCATATTTAAGTTCCTGTAGAAGGGAAAAAAAAAAAAAAAGGCCTATATGTTATGCCTCATACTACATAATACAGTAGTCATGGTACATTGTAATCACCATAAACAATAAGATAAATTTTAAGAATAGCCTTGAGTTATTTTTACTAGCTAAGATATCAGCAAAAGGTTTGAGACTCTGCTTGTGATTTTCGTGTATCAAATAATTTTTCATGTTTAGGTATATGTGTCGGTGGTCCACTTATGAAAGGGAAAAAGGCTTGAGATATCTCTCACCTTTTGTATCAAATTGGTTGTATCCTAATATAAAACTTGCACACTATCAAATTCTTACTGTCAGACCACCTTTAGAATACTATTCCCTTTTTGGACACACTCAATGCGGCTTAGGCTATATAAGAAATCGAACACATTTAAAAAATAAAGACAAGAAAACTCGTATTCTGAAACTATTTCCCACGAGTATATATGCATGAGTAGAATTAACTGAGCGTACATTATAACCCATAAAGCTTGATTGTTGCTATTACGATATTACTTGTAATAACAAAAGTGATCCAAGACAGTGACAACAACCTTGTAGAGCAATAGCAAGAAAAAACTAGGCCTCCTTAAATTTGTAATTCGTAAGCTCAATACCTATTTAGCCTCTGTTTGGTTCTCATTATTTTCTCATTAAAATAAAAAATATGATTGTTATCCATCACATCAAGCCAACAAATTTGAATTTCTGTCTCTTGTGTGGGATCCGTAACGACTATATTTTTCATTCTCATTCTTCCAAAAATGAGAAACAAACGGGGGCTTAATTCATACTTTTTGAATTGTCTCATTTATTCTTATATATAGGCACCCCAACACTTTTCCCTTGTTCATCTATCTTTTTACTTTGTAAGATCTCTCACTTGACAATTTTGTCGACCATATAATTCGTACCTTACACAAGCACTTCCACACTTCAATAGGAATTCCATGAGGCCAAGGTTCGTAACCTCCCTCATCTTCAGATATTGAATTCTTCTAGTGTAAATTACCTTCTTTTTTGGTATGGAGTAGATAATTCCAATATTCAGCCTATTACTTCTATAAATAATGTTTTCAAATATTTATTGTCTTTTTGTGGTCTCATTGCTATGAAGCAATGCTGTTAGGTTCTCATCTTTAATGCACTTAACATTCTTTCCTTTTTCTAGGTTTCAAGATAATTTGTTGATATTTTCTTGTTGTCCTTGGTTTCAAGATAGCTATACAGCATATAATATTCTTTAGTATGGGACTTTCAAATCTTCCTCTAGGTTTTTTATTTAGCTATCTTATACTTCTGAAAAACATCCACATTTTTTCTTTTCTGTTTCTGTAGCATTCACTTTCAGTCTTCACTGCCATTTGGACCTTCTCATTTTGCCACCAGGTTCCTTATTAGATTGTTTTACTCACTCAAGTTCTCGTAAAACCTCTCTCTTCTAAATGCAACTAGCCATCTCATTCGGCATCACGGACTCCTTTTTTTTTTTGAAACTCTATTATTAACATTCACTTGTCATCCCATTGTACAGGTTTCACCATATTATTATGTAAACCCGAAATTGTTTGCTATTTTTTTTCTCCATTTCTTAATAATAACGTCAAGTACATCCATCTTATGTGTTGTAGTTATGCTCTCCTACCTTGCAACCCTTTGTACAATGACCTATCCACTTTCCAAGTCTGGAAATTTATTTGACTAAAACTTTAGCCCATTTTCAAAAGTTATAAAATGGGCATCTCTTTTTGAAGCTTGGATTCAGCTAATGCCAAGTAATTAGCTAACTCAACAATATACAATAATATTACCTTCATTTTGATCTATAAATCCAAAAATTTCTTTCTTTTGTGTCTTGAGTTACATTTGCAGTTGAACATTCAATCTTTCCCTACAAAAATCTTATCTTGACTAAGGATTTCCTGAGTCAGACCGTCCATGTATTCCCCAAATTGTTTCCCTGTTGAATCCTATTTGTGTAACTTACCCACTGGTAACAGTAATGGCTCTTCGCCTAAAAGAAGTTTAATTTTCTTATTCCCAACTCATTTAACTTCTACGACATGTCCTCATGCGACATCTACTAGTTATAAGGATCTTCTGTTTAGTGTTTCTATATTACAAGTTTCTCTCCTAATTTTGTTATCTTTGACTTGCTTATTTTTGGATACTCTTGGGTGCCAAAGTGCCAAGTTGCTTATGCAGTACGCCTTTGTAACCTCTGCTCATGTCTCACTACACCTGGGATCCAATATCCGCATGTTGCTAGTAGGAAATGTCCTAATAAAATCAGTATAAGGTTTCCTATAACCATTTAACAAAAATTTTATGCTGGCCGTCAACAACCATGTACATGGTAGAAATATACATCAACAAGAGGAATACTAGATGCACATTCTTCATTTTACATGACTTGTACTGCTCATTTTTTGTTTTCATGTCTTATTTTTTTCTTTATTCGTGTTGGGTGTGTTGATTTACAGGGTGATCTGGTAATTTTTTTGTTTATAATTTATCCGTTGGATTGAAATTGTCTTTAAGTGATCTTGTCATTTGTTTGTTCATTATTTAACTGTTGGAGTGATAGTGTCTCTTTTATATTCTTCTGTTTTGAAGAGCTTGTGTTGGAAACTGTATTTAAGCTGATTCTATTTTAGGGAAGTTTATATTATATGGGGAGGCCTAGAAGTGGAGTTTAGATATTCAATTTGAAGAGGAGAATTCTTTCACGACTTAAGTTCTTTCAGATGGTTTGCAATAGTTGTTTGATGATAGAACTAGTGGATGTAGACTGAAAGGTTTCTGTATTAGAGTTGATTTAGCTGTTAAAATTCCTGGTTGCAAGATGTTGATTGTTTGTAACAACTTAACTTATGGACATGTGGAACATTCTCCTGCGTAGCATAGTTGTCTTCATCCTTCCTCATCTTGTGCAATTCTATTACACATGAAAGATGCAAAAGTGCATTTACCTATTGAGAGCAAATAGACATCAGATATCCATCATATGCTATCGGACTGCAACAGTTATTTTCTCCAAGAGAATTAATAGATCTGCACTTTATTTTCCGCTGCGACATTATTATCAATTCTTATTAGTTGCATCATGTACTATTGAAAATTCAGGTATGTCAAACTGCAAAATTTTAACAAAATATAGAAAAACATCTAGGACAAAAATTCAAACTCACGAATTCCATTGCGATATTATTATCAATCTCTTATTAGTTGCATCATGTACTATTAAAAATTCAGTTACGTCAAATTGCAAAATTTTAACAAAATATAGAAAAAAATCTTACAATTTCAAACTCACGAATTCCATTGCAATATTATTATCAATCTCTTATTAGTTGCATCTTGTACTATTGAATATGCAGTTACGTCAAACTGCAAAATTTTAACAAAAATTTTGAACTCACAAAACTCTTGTTGTTCCTGTACTCTAGGATAAGGGTAATCATGCTCCAGTTGATATATGGAGATCGAAGTTTTCGAACTTCTATTTTGCATGCAGCGAAAGAGGCCCTCATTTTGCTCGTAAGTCTTTTCATGCTTTTTATAGTTGAAATGCATTGGATTTTCTGGAGAAAACTTTGTGGAAATGCTGCTCTATGTTATGGTAGATAGATCTTCATCTGTTGCATCTTTGTATCAGCATTTGAGTTCTGTTATGTGACTTTTGTTGTTTCTGTTATTTTAATTTTGCATAGCGAAGGATAAGAAGATATGTTTTAACTAGTGTTTTGTTAAAGGATTGGCTAGTTACATATTTGCACGAACGTGTTATGCTTTGTTGTGTGATATTTGTTATTTCAGGTTATTTGTCTTTACTTATTGGATAATATGTTACAGTATTGAAAGAAAATTCTCTTTAAAATGGGATCAAATTTTGTGGTATCATCATGTAAGCATTGATGTAAGAACTTGATAGAGAGAGAGAGAGAGAGAGAGAGAGTTGGAGAATGATATAAAAAGAATTTTTAAGGTTTCTAAATATATTAAATCAATTTTCTAGTTATTCAAAAATACTAGTCTCTCTATTACTTTCCTAATAAGAATGGAATAACCCGTAATAAAAAGGAAAAAGTATTAACTTAATTTCTAAACCCTTGTTTGATCCCTATTATTTTTAAAATACATTTTGTTCTCTCTCTCTCTCTCTCTCTCTTTTTCAATAACACATTTTTCAATAAAATAATATTACTCGCAAATTCATTTTTTTTTAACCACACATTTTGCATTAATCTACTATTCCAAAATGCATTATTAGTTAAGAAAAAAATGGGGCTCAAACAAGCTCTTGGCAAAGAAATACATCATAATCAAAATTTACTCTTGAAATGAATGCTTATTTGAATGTTTGCAAACTCTTCAATGAAATCACTGTCATTCCTCCCGACTGAAATGACTCAACCTGGACAACCCTTTGGTTCAATTACCACCTTCACTAATATTTTAGCACTTAAATCAATTGGAATAGTTTTGTATGTTGATTTGATACCAAATGGTCAGTCATAATCTGCCTTTTTTTTTTTTTGAAATCTCATCGTATGTAGATTTTTTTTTCCAGTCTCATTTTCTGTTGTACTCGTAAGTGATTTGTGCAATCTATTCTCACGGTAGGTTTTTATCTCCAATTCTACCGAACTCTCCTCTTGTAACCACACGAGTCACCTGTGATCAATCTAGGAAAGAACTAGCTGACTTCCTTTTGATAACCAACTTGTAGCTAGAGATAGTGTCATCACTTTATCCTACTTTAGTGATTGTCACTTGGCAACAGAAGACACTTCACCATAGTCTTTAATAGAAATCCCTAAAGATATATAGTTTGTGATATATAAGGTCTAAGCTTGTCACTGTTGTTTTGAGATTTTCCAACTAATATTTTGCAATTCCCAGAAGCTTCTTTTTGTTTCTTTTCAAGCTAGCCGAAAGGGGCTGAGTAGATCTTGTGATATATCTTATCTTTCTTCTAATAAAAGTGTCATGATTGTTTCCATGGATGGGAAGATAATCTCTACATGGTAATTTCTTACTATCTGAAGGAAGTGTTGTGGAATATTTCAACAATCAATTGATTGCATTCTAGATCCAACGTGATCGCAGTTGGCTTGGCTACCAGATTCAGATATCATCACACTCTTTTCATAAATCTCAATAGATGTCATATAAATCTTAAAAGGATTAATACGATTTATGCAAAGGCATCCTTGATTTTTATCATCATCATATGCTGGTGCGGTTCTTGTTTTTTTATTCTTTTATATATATATTTTTCTGATTTGAGCTACTGTAACTTTTACATCAAGACTGGAATTCTTCAAAAGTTCTTCCGCAACTAACGCCTTCTTTGGGGGAGATAAAGCAACTTGTATGGACATGAGCTTTTGAAAGAAAATCCTTGATTTGGTCAAGCAAAAGGCGAGAGTTCGTCCTGAGAATATGTAGGCTAAAGAAGCTTGTTTCAGCCACTATTAATTGTTCTTCCTTCTTTTTACTTGAATGCAATGTCTTTTGCTGTTTATTGTCTGTAATAAGGGCTTCTGGCAATAGAAGAAAGCAGAGTAAAAAAAGAGGAAGAACTTTTAGAGAATTTTCACGGTTGCTTTTTAGTTAATGAATAATGTTGAGACAAACGTTGGTATAAACACGGGAGAGAATAAGATAGATATTTTCTCTCCTTCACTTACATTATACAGTGAAATCGAGAGTACACGTATGGAAATAGATACAAATGTGGAAACAAAATAAACTCAATTATACTCTCCCCTAATCTATGTTATTCTAATATATTTATTTCTTTAACAAATAGAAACCAAGATTAGTTTTTTAATGGACAGTACTGAGACTTTTCATGAAAAAAAACCCCAATTTTTTTTTTTTTTTTTTTTGTGGGAAGGATCCGGCCAAATAAATTAGTAGCTTGTTACGAATTGATGTAATACGAAAGACACAATGAACAGGGAGGAAGAGATAAAAAGAATATGATGAATGAATAAACAGATAAACCGGGGAATGGAAGATCTCTCTCTCTCTTCTCTCTCCCTGATAGTGACCAACGGATGACACAGTAGTCCTATTATGGAGGCACCTCCTGCTACATCCAAATATCCCCAGCCACCGCTGACTCCAACCGACCTGGGCATCACGACCGGTAACCCTACAGGCCTCATGCCACAAAACCCTGGCCAGATCACACCAGATCTACAGTTTGAGAAGAAAATCGGGCATCCACCATCCACCCACCCTTCGGCAATCCTTACGCCACAACGCCTTCCCAGCCGTGCAGGTCGTTCCGACGCTGGACGGGCAGTGGCGTCGACCTCGCACTGATCTGGCCACGCGTGTGCCGGCACATGGACAACACGTGCCACTGCTGGCGAGCCTACCGATTCCTCTAGTAGCAACCAGTAACCCCAATATCCAGATTTATCATCCGATGCATTGTCTGCTCAAGAGCAAGGAAAACAGTTACACGCAAATGGTATGGTGTACAATTCTAGATTTAGAATTGAGGGTAAAGATTTCGTAGTGTCTATCTACGATTCGGGCATTGTTAAGCTATTGGAATGGGGAGCGAAGAGGTATGGTGATGGTGCTGAAAGGGGCGAATGGTGAAGGTTAGGTCTCGATTTCGAGTGTGTTCCAGGCGGTTATCAACTATTTTGTTGTTAGAGATAGGATTAAGCACCGAGCAGTCGAAGAAGGGAGCAAACAAGGGTTGACTTACATCGAAATTACAGCAAATGTACAAGCCTCACAAAATGCCGATCAACGGGTGCTGTTGCATGAGTAAAGGGAGATTAAGGATAGAAGTAACCCACGAGAGCAAATCTCGGGATATAATAAAGAAGGCATAATTGTTAGTCCCTTGTATAGAGCTGATTTAAGAGCTCGCATCTTAACACTGAAAGGTGAACTCATGGAATTAATTAAGTTGATGGATAGTGAGTATGAAGCGGGCCCCCAAGAAGATCTACTGTCATAAGTGTGGGGGTGGACATGAATGAATGCCCGTCAAATGGTAAAAAGGTTGTAAACTTGGATTCCAAGGAGTTGATATCGAACTGGACCGACAATAAAGAGCTGCTGGTTGAGCCAAGTGGCGACTCTTTGAGACGGACTAGAGCGGTGGAGGTGGAACATTAGGCTGAGAAAGGGGAGTTGAATACATTAACTTAGGGGCTTGCGGTACTGGATGCAACAAAAGATAAGGGTCCCATGAACAATGATGTAGTGAACAAGAGGCCAATAGAGGGATTTGAGTCAGCGATGGAGTAAGAAATCGGAGTTGTATTGGCAGAAACCCAGCTACGGGAGTTGAGGAACAGCAAAGGGCGACAGGATCAGCAACTATGGTTGTAAACACTTACTGTAGGAAACATTCAAAGTCTATGAAAGAGAGGGACTTGGGGAATGATAAAGCTTTGGTGTTATGGGTTGATGGTGCTGAAAAGGAAGATATGGATAGCAATGTAATACTAGTGGAGGATGACCCTTCCCATGTCGGGGAGATAGTGGAAGTTAGTGCGGTTGACATTAGTCCCTCGTCGTCTAGCTTGGTTATCCAAAAAATTCTAGATTTCAACAAGATGATGGGTGTCTCTTTTGAAGGATATGAAACTAGGCTAATGCAATTATTTGAGGAATTGGAGTCTGGTAGGGGACAAGGGATGGGATGGGTACACCAGGTGGGAAGACAAGAAGAAAAGGTGATCGTGAACTTAAGCGGCTTGAATGCTCAGTCAATTATGACGTTAAGGGTGGCGATTCAAGGAGAGGTTTGATGAGGAGGGATGGTGGAGTGTTAAGATGATCCCAAAAATAATTAATTGGAACGTGAGGGGGCTGAATTAAGCTGGAAAAAGATTAGGTATTCGAAATCTATTAAGGGGTTGGAGTGCTGACCGTGCATGCATTAAAGAAGCAAAGTTGGAGGTTATTTCAAGGGCTATTGTGAGCAATCTATGGGGGGGACAGCATGTCGGGTATCAATATGTTGGGTCATTGGGGGCTTTATGAGTTTTGTTAGTCATGTGGGATACGAGGGTTTTTAATATGGAAGAGGTCAGTGAGGGGCTATTTTCTCTCTCTCTTTTGTTCAGAAATATTGCGGATAGTTTTCGTTGGATGTTTATAGTAGTTTATGGGCCTAATATTGATGAGAGTAGATGTGGATTGTGGGATGAGTTGGCTGCTGATGTCTTGGTGGGACCTTCCAATGTGTATTGGGGGAGATTTCAATGTAGTTCAATTTCCTAATTAGAGGTCTAGTGGTGGGAGATTAACAGAGGCAATGGAGGATATCTCATATTTTATCAGGGATAATATGCTGGTAGACATGCTTTTGATTGGAGGAGACTTTACTTGGTCATCTAATCGGGATCAACCTGTTTCATCTCGATTAGATTGATTTCTTATTAGTGGGGAGTGGGAGGCTAAATATCCAGAAGTGACTCAGAGGAAATTTGGAAGGGTGTATTCTGATCATTTCCCTATTTTGTTATCGGAGAATGTGAGGTGTAGTGGAAGAATACCTTTTAGATTTGAGAAGATGTGATTTAAAGTAGATGGCTTTAGGGAGTGAGTACGGGATTGGTGGGCATCTTATGAGTTTGGGAGGTCTCCCAGTTATGTGTTGGATTAGAAATTAAAAGCCTTGAAGAGAGATCTGAAGAGGTGGAATGAAGAGGTGGTGGGTGATGTTAATTGGGGTAAAAATCAATGTATTCTAGAAATAGAAGAACTAGATAGGCAAGAGGAGGGTTGAGGATTGGATGGGGAGAAGAGGGAGAAACGTGGAGTGTTAAGGAGAGAGTTGGAGAGACTGGTGAAGATGGAGGAAATTGTCTGGCGCAAAAAATCTAAGGTTACATGGTTGAAAGAGGGGTACAAATGTACCAAAATTTTCCATAGAGTCGCCAGTTCGAACAAGCGCAACAACTCTATCATCATGTTGGAGATTGATGGGATTACTTATGAGGATTCGCAGGATATTGGAAATCAGATGGTGAGATTCTATCAAAATCAAAATCAATATTGGGAACAGTTTGACTGGAGACCAAAGGTGGATGGACTGGACTTTTCTACTATCACGGAGGAGGATGCTAGTTGGTTAGAGAGACCATTTGCAGAAGATGAAATCAAGGACGTGGTTTTTAGTATGAATGATGATAAGGCACCTGGACCAGAGGGCTTTTCGTTCGCATTTTGTAAGGCTTGTTGAGAGGTGGTAGGACCGGACATTATAAATGTTCTTACTTATTTTTTTGATTACAGCACATTCCTGAGAAGTTCTAATGCTACATTTATTGTGCCAATTCCAAAGAAACCAGGAGCAGTTGACTTTAAGGATTTTTGCCCTATTAGCTTAGTTAGTGGGGTATATAAGATTATGACGAAGATCCTGACGAATAGATTAAAGGAGGTGCTGGGGAAAGTGGTGACCAAGAGTCAGAATGCTTTTATGAAAGGAAGACAAATTTTGGATTCTGTGCTTAAAGCGAATGAATGCGTTGACTCTAGATTGCGTTTGGGGGTGTCAGGAATGTTATGTAAACTCGATATTCAGAAGGCTTATGATCATGTGAACGGGGAGTTCCTTTTGCACATGCTCAGGCGATGTGGCTTTGGGGAAAAGTGGTGTAAGTGGATTCAATTCTGTATCTCTATCGTTTCATTCTCAGTTTTGGTCAACGGCAAACCGGAGGGTTATTTTCGAAGCAATAGAGGTTTCAGGCAAGCGGATCCCTTGTTTCCGTTGCTGTTTGTGATTGTTATGGAGTCAATTAGTAGGATGCTTGAGAAAGCTGTGGAAGAAGGATTGATAAGGGGGTTTATGGTTGGACACTTACAGGTTTCCCATTTGCTATTTGCAGATGATACAATGATCCTTTGTGATGCAGATAATGAGCAATTCAAGAACTTGCGTCGGCTACTTCTATGCTTTGAAGCGGTGTTGGGATTGAAGATTAATTTAAGGAAATCCGAGGCCATTCCAGTGGGAGAGGTTGCTAACGTGGATGAGTTGACCGATGTATTGGGCTGTAGGGTTGCGTAGTTGCCTATGTCATACCTTATGCTCCCGTTAGGGGTAAGGTTTAAAAGTAAACATATTTGGAATGGAATAGTCGAAAGGGTGGAGAAGAGGTTAGCGGGGTGGAAGCGTATTTACCTTTCGAAGGGAGGCCGTCTTACTCTCATTAAATTTACTTTGTCTAATCCCCAACTTATTTCTTGTCACTATTTCCTATTCCTATTATAGTGGCAAACAAATTAGAGAGGATTCAAAGGGAGTTTCTCTGGGCAGGGCTAGGGGAGAGAGGAAATTTCATTTGGTTAATTGGGGTGTGGTTTGTTCTCCTGTAAAGACGGGGGGCCTTGGATTACGAAGCCTCGTTCTATTTAATAAGACTTCATTGGGCAAGTGGTTATGGCGATTTGGAGTGGAGAGGGGGAGTATTTGGAGACAAATGATCGGAGTGAAGTATGGTGTGATGGGGGGGTTGGTGCTCGATTGATGATCGTGAGTCTTATGGGGTGAGTTTGTGGAAGTATATCCGACGAGATTGGAATGACTTTTGTGAGAAATTGACTTATGTGGTGGTGAATGTCACTAGTATCAAATTTTGGGATGATTGTTGGTGTGGAGACTATCCGCTAAAGGCACGGTTTCCTTCTTTACATTGCATTGCTTTGGAGCCTTCCACTATGGTGAATGATGTACTAGCCATACATTATGGAAGTTACAGCACGAATATTGCATTTGAGAAGGGTTTGCAGGATTGAAAATTGGATGATTATGCATTGTTTTTAACCTCTTGCATGAGGCGCATATTCAGGTAGGAGATGATGATTAGAGTAGGTGGAAGTTGGTACGGGATGGTATCTTTTCAGTTCTCACTTATTTTAGATCCATATTGGACCGACAGAGAGTTCATTTCCCTAGAAGATGGTGTGGCAATGTAAACTGCCTCCACGGGTGGCTTTCTTGCTGTGGACGGTTGTGAGGGGCAGGCGTTAACAGTGGATAATCTTCGAAGAAAAGGTTTTTATGTTACCAAATGGTGTTATATGTGCAAGAGAGATGGGAAACGATTGATCATTTGTTCTTCCATTGTGACGGTGTTCAGTGGTTGTGAAACGATCTTCTAGCTTCCCAACATTTGGATTGGGTGTTCCCTAGGTGCATAGAAGATGTGGTGAAGGCATGTTGGAGAAAATTTCGGGATAAGGATAGTATGCTTGTGTGGAATCTCATTTCGGGATGCATTGTATAGTGTGTATGGAGAGAAAGGAATAGCTGCTGTTTCGAAGATCAAACAAGAACAATAGAGCAGATTAGAGAATTGTTCTATATGACTTTGTATACTTGGTTTAATGCTGCGGCCACTAATTACATAGAAGGGCTGCCAAATTTTATGTCGTTTCGTTCTTGTTTAACTTGATAATACACCTCCCATGTATTATCTATTGATTAATAAAATTACTTGATTACTTATCAGAAAAAAAAATCTGATGATATGGAGAAAAAATGTAGTGATGAAATTTATTGTCATTGATATTTATCAATTTTCTTTATTATTCCAAAATACCAGTCTTATCTGTACTTAAAATTCTTCACAGAATTAGGAAGTTTCCAAACTAACAAATTGAGAATTTTTAATTCTAATTTGATAATTTATCAAAATAACAGATGAGAATTATTAATTTGAATTTAATAATTCTGGTAAGGAGATATCAAAATACAAGAAACAAATCAGAATCTACCTTCAACTTTTATGCTTAAAATAATTTTTGTTGAAGTCTTCAACAAAATCTCCATCACTTGAATTTGTTTTTCTCATTACTTCATTATGAACTCATTTTGCTTCTTCGCTTTATCACACTTGGAAAATTTAATTTGAACTTATAATATGTACACAGTACATGTGTGTGTTAACATATATCATACAGATGACTATTTATTAAAATCATAATTCTTAGAAGAATTTAATATTTTGAACCCTTACGATATTTTGTGCATGTACGCAAGGATATCATGTAATGTGGTACACATGCATGTATATATTTCTTTCCAGATTATCATGTTCAATGATGTTCGCATCTTACAGGTGGAACTAAACTCTCCATTGCATGTGAAAATGCATCTCATGTGCTGTCTGATGAATATCTATGTTTCTGCTGCAGATTTTATTACTATACGTTTTGCGAAATAGCATCAACTAACAATTTGCCTTTATTACCCTGACTGTAAAATGAACCAAGTTATTTAGGATCGTGCTGGACCTGGCGCATTTAAGGTTCATTCAAGCTTGGGTCATTAGATACAATTAGCTGAGTTTGACGATGTTTAAGCTTATATAAAAACTATCTTGGCTCAAGTTCCTCTTGATACAGACAATAACTTCCAAATATTCTTTTTTATTTAAGATATTCTAGCTCGGCCCAGGTTTGGATTGATCAGAGTAAATAAACCATGATCAGGACATACGTATCTCGAAAGACTTAACTGTGCATTTTAGAGCACCTTCAATCTGGGCTTTGTTTGGTTGGCTCATTACTTACTCATTTACTCTTATTGTTTTTCAAGTACCATAAAGTCAGGTTTTAACAATGTCAATTATAATTTACAGCTGCTGTAAGGGAGCGCTTGTCAAATGGGTACTTACTTATTGCAACTAGTGGGGGGCTCAACCAACAAAGAACAGGGGTAAGTATTTCATCCTCTCTTCTCTATTCGTTTTTGAGTCTCCGGATTTAGCATCATGCATAATTGTTTCTTACTTCTCTTTCTCTTTCTTTTTGAGTTCAGTTTCATTTCTGTCTCAATAGACTAAAATCTTGAATCCGTTGCTGACTCTTCAGATAACTGATGCTGTAGTTGTTGCAAGGATATTGAATGCTACTTTGGTTGTACCAGAACTGGATCACCATTCTTACTGGAAGGATGAAAGGTTAGTTGTAATTTCATTTACTTTTACTCATTGAAGAAAGACAGTTTTTGATTTTTAGTCACGGTAGCCCACTAACTCAATTGTTATGGAATTAGAATTTAAATACACGATTTTATGATTTTGTCATTGTATCATAATATCCTCTTTTAAGTTTAGCATCTTTTCTTATCCAGATTTCTTGTCCTTATGCAGTGACTTCTCTGACATTTTTGATGTTGATTGGTTCATCTCTTACATTGCAAAGGATGTCCCCATTGTTAAAAGGGTCCCAGAAAATTTCATGAGGTCAATGGAAAAACCACCATATACCATGCGGGTTCCACGAAAATCAGAACCTGAATATTATCTGGAGCAAGTGTTGCCCATTCTTTTGAGGAGACGCGTAAGATAGCAAACACAATATTACAATTAATATTATTTGATTTAATCAGGCATTGCTTGCATTCTTCTTATATCCTACTTGTGGTAAATCTTTACTCTGTTTATCAGATCCGTGGTTGAATAAATGTTTCTATAACCATTCCCGTGTTAATGAATCAATGTCAAGATGAATGTTTGATTGTTGTCTTCTTATACCTCGCTTACTATTTGTCTTCAAGATCAGCCCAAGCCTCTCTTGACCATTGTCATTCTTCCTCCTCCTTTATCCTTCCTTTTTTTCTTTTGTTTTTTGGTCAATATTCTTACCGCTGTCTTCTTTTGTTTTTCCGCTTCTAGTATGAGTTTCATTAGCTATTTTATTATTTTTGTGCTGTTTAACTCATAATATCATAAGTAGTTGCTGAATGGGCCTGGAAATGTTTTAATCTGAGTCCCATGTGGGCTGAAGTTATAGAGAGAAATTATGGCCTGAACAGAATGAGTGGAATGATAGAGGTGGTTGTTATGCAGGCAAGCTTTGAACATTCATGTTGAAGTTATATTTAACACTTGTTTTTTTTTTGTTTTTTTTCCAATTTTTTCACTACAAAAAGTATAGACGATTTCTTGGCTCTTCTCTGGGGCATTCCTTTCCCAGTCTTTGTACAGGCCATTGTAGGTTATCTACATGGTCCCTCAATCTCAAGTTTTTCTTTATATAAATGGAGAAACACTCTTTTGGAATCTCCTTTCCCCTGGAATCTCTTGGAGGCGCTATCAGGTGAGTCGTCATGGTTTTTGCAGTTGTATCTCCAGCTCTATGCCTAATTTTAGAATATACTTAAGAGATAGGTCCTAGACATGATATTGCCGTCCTTTTGCTCAACATAAAGTATTTACAAAAGCTAAAGTTCCCTTTAGGATCAAAGCTTTCATTTCTATTCATAAAGCTTAGTCTAGATTTTTCGTTTTATGTGTAATGTTCATTTCAGATAAATTATCTTGAAAACTTTAGAATAATTATTTTATACATTTAATAATAAGTGTGGGTTTGTCTTGCTGTTTGCAATTTCCTATTCCAAATTTTGTTCGGATCTTTGACTAGGGAAACATGTGAAAATCCTATGATGTTATGCTTGTTGCATGATGATCTCAGTGATTTGGATGGAGATAAATGCCAGAAGTTATGACAAACTTATCTGCCATTGTTTTGATATCTGATGGAGCTCTCTTTTTTTTAATTATTTTTTTAATGTGTGGGCTCTACTATCAGGAGCCTTGATGTATAAATATTGTTGACAGGCTTTCAGAGGAAGAAGCGAGCTGTTCTTTTGTTATATTTTCATTCTAACCTGGCTTAAGATTCCAGTGTTGCTCTCAAATGATTATGTGAAACACACACAGACACAAACACGAACATTCATACACACGCACAAGAAAACACAGACACTTATGCGAGGAGAACGCTAGCAATTCATTAGAATCTTTGGCTAATAAATGACATAATACTTGCCCACAGGTCGTTCAATTAACAAAGTTCGATTACAGACTTTCCAGTGACCTTGACGAAGACCTCCAAAAGTTGCGTTGCCGGGTAAATTATCACGCTTTAAGATTTACTAAAACTTTAAGGAGTCTGGGTCAGAGGCTTGTGATGCGAATGCGGAAGATGGCAAAACGTTTCATTGCAATTCACTTGAGGTTTGTAATTCTTGTGAAGTTATATAAGTTTTTATTTTGCTTGGTTTTCAGTTTACAGGCGCTCAATGCATGAAAAGTATATCATAATTCCTTTTCAATTTCATTTTCTTATTTTTTCAAGCAATCCAGGTGAACTTGAAGAAAGATTTTCCCAATAAGTCTTTTCTAATGAAGATTCTGAACTGTTCTGTAATAATTTAATAAGGTGGTTTTGTGATGTATTACAATCATGTGTTGCTTAACATGGAAAAGAATGATCACTTATGAAAGAGAACTTTGAAGTTTTTCCACTCCTCATCTCATCCAGACATCCTGCCCTGTAAAAGGACTCAAAGCATTGTTCCTTGTAGTTCATCATACCATGGCTGATTGATTGTCTAAAATAAGTTTCTGGAAGAACTGAATTCATATTGTTTGGTAACTAAAGAGAGTGAATGTTATTCTTTTCTACTAGCTTCAACCATCCTGTCACTTCCCAAAGAAAGAAAAGAAAAACGAAAACTCTTGGTAGCATGACTCACTTAAGGGTTGCCCCATAAACAATTTTGATCTATGAACTCAAAGTATTCCATTCATATAAATGCTGTTTATTCTGACTACCTAAAAGGACTGGACTCATGCTCAGTTAATATAATGGTGGTTTTGTGGTTTATTGATCCTCAACCATGTGACGCTTCTATAGAAAGCGGTAAGTTGTCCTCTTGAACATTTGAGGTCATCTATTGTTTTAGAAATGAATGACCTGTTGATTTTGATTACCATCAGTAATTTGGAATTTGTTTCACATTTATCTGGTAGAACTGTAGAATCTTGCAAATTTTATATCAGAAGAATGAAGTAGAAATCAAGACAGAAATCATGTAGAATTCAAGAAAAGTATCTAAGAAATTTTAACTGAATGTATTAGATGTTTATATTAAATATTGATATTTGCATTGTCAACATCTAAGCTAAATATAAAGGAGAGAAAAACTCATTATTTTTAAATAGAATATATTTTTAATTAGAGTTAAGAGTAAAAACATTAAGATATTGCATATTTAATATCTGAGGTTTTAGTTAATGCATGAAGCAAGCTTACCAGGTCCTAGTGATTCCAAAAAAATTGGTACCAACTTCTCTGCCCATATGTACTTACTATTTAGCTATTACGGCTTAGGCTTTTGTTCTTTTTTGTTGTGGGTTTGTTCAATGCTTATGCAGCATCTGCTAGTTTGCTAATGTCCATTTGTAGTATTTTTCTGATCTTGTACCAGACCAGTCGAAAATTTTCTTTAACAGAAGCAAGATAATGGAATTGCTGGTTAAGTCCAAATGAAATTTTGATGGAATAAGCAAAAACAGAACTTTTGCATGACATACAAAATATGGCAAGATATGCTTACCTGTAAGGACTAAAGGGGAAGAGTTACTAGTGGCCATGTTAAAGCCAGAAGTGAACTGAAAACTAACCTGGCTTGATGTAGTTAATGAATAAACCTAAGGTTTTGGTTATATAGAGGATGAAACCGCTGAATGCCTTTGCTAAAATCCCATTTTGTATTATGTAACACAGATTTTATTCATTAAGAATACAGTAACTTTCCCACTTCCATATGTTTACAATGCATACATGCACATTCCAAATTCGATTTGGTATCTGCATAATGCATATAGGCACCAGTAGAGGAGTTTTCCAATTACATATTACTTACTTTGGGGATCTTTTTATTTATTCTATATGCAAATCGTTCTAAAATAACAAATCAAAGAGAACATTAGCTCAATGTTAATGTTGTTCTTGAAGAAATACAACTAAAGCACTGAGACAGAGAATTCTCCACTTGCCATTTTCTTGGTTGAGGCTACTTTCACTTTTCCCTCAGATTCCTAATTGGTGGATGCAGCATGCACTGATTCACATTTAGTAAATGTAGTTCGGACTTCTTATATATCACAAGAAGTGTATTATACCTTTCCACTTGAATGTCTATCTTTTTGCATCATATAGGTTTTAATTAATTAATTTATTATTATTTTTAAATTTTTTTTGAATTTTTTTTTATTTTTATCGATATGATGATATTCAAGATGATGATTTAGACATTTCATTTCTTACCAACTGCTTGATTTTTGTAATTCTAGGTTTGAACCTGACATGCTTGCATTTTCTGGCTGTTACTATGGTGGTGGAGATAAAGAAAGATATGAGTTGGGTGAGATGAGGAAGCGATGGGAAACATTACCGGTAAGACTCTTGTGTGAACAAATGGATTGAACTTGTTTTATGTTAAAGCAATAATCAAAATGCAAATATCCGGTATGTCTAGTCATTTGGGTTGTAATCTTAATATCTTATCACACTTTGAAGCTGAAAGATGCAGAATTTTCTGTTTTGATGCACTGCTGTTTGACGCAAAATTCTCTACATTACTCAGGAGTTAAGCGCTGATGAAGAGCGATCACGAGGGAAGTGCCCGCTGACCCCACATGAGGTGGGTTTGTTGCTTCGGGCACTTGGTTTTGAAAATAACACACATATATATGTTGCATCTGGAGAAATATATGGTGGGGAAGAAACTCTGGCACCTCTCAGAGAACTCTTTCCAAACTTCTACACAAAGGAGATGCTTGCTGGTGAAGAGTTAAAACCTTTTATGCCATTTTCTTCTAGAATGGCTGCCATTGATTACATTGTCTGTGATGAAAGCGACGTCTTTGTCACTAATAATAATGGGAACATGGCCAAAATCTTAGCTGGTCGAAGGTAATTTCTGAGCAAAACAATGCTCTTTTCAAATTGTTACTATGCAACTCTAGTAGCTCTTAGAATGTTGCTATCTAATTTATGTTGCCTTTACTTGAAAAGGGGTAAAGGAGGCAATCTATCAATTTCAAGATGACAGGAGGAATTTAAGATTAGAAAGCAAATAAACCACTTCTATATACAAAAACCTTTTGGAAAATAATTTCGTTCTTTTGTGCAAACTAATAGCGGAATCTCAACAGATATTTATGCCTTGTTTGAGCCACATTATTTGAAAAAAATGCATTCTTCAATAGTGATTTGACATCATTTCAACCACACATTCTTTAATAAAATATTACATGTAAATCCAAAACTTTTCTTTATTTTTTAACTACACATTTCTCATCAATATACTATTCAAAAATGCATTTTCATTCCAATAATATGGCTCAAACAAGGGCTTAATAATAGAAAGCACACAATACTGCTGTCTTTGATAGAAGTGATTTTAATAAAGAGCACTTATTTAAATCTGTAATGCTTCCCCCATCCGGCATGGAATCTTTGGTATAAATGTGATTATTTTTATACTATCTGGCCCTTGCCAATTTATTTCTACTTGAAAAATGTGGAATGAGCGAGCCTGATAGATTGTAGTGTATCATTTAATTCCATTACTAACTCGGAGTACTTGGTGGATGTAAGAGCAGAATAAAGAGGACCAATATGTGTATAGGTTAAGAGGATTGTCAGAATGGTAGCTGTAAGTGTATAACTGGTGAAGTTTAGCTGGTGTAAGGTTCCAGATTCAGGTTTACTGTTTTATTATGAGTGTCTACGAGGTTGTGTGACTAGTAATATCACCTCAGAGATGAATACCCAGATTTTGTTGCTGCTCTTATGGTTGAAGTTAAGTTATTTTTCATCAATCTCCTTAATAATTTATGAAGTTTTGAGAATATAAGACCATAAGTTGAAGGTAATGAAATTGAGAACATGGGACAATATCTCATGCTTGCCTTTTTGGGGGAGAATTAATATCGCATGTGATTTACTCGACCGTGGAAGATGCCTTAAGAAAAGTAATGTCTCACATGGAAAATGGTAAACATTGCCACTTTGTAGGTATGCAAAAGAAGAGTTCGAACTTTTATAAATGATGTATGATACTCCCAATGTTTGTCCATATGACTCCTATTGCTGATAAAATGCAGTATATTTTTAATTTTCCATTTGTCAGAAAAGTTTCAACCTGGTGCAAAGGTAAGTTTTGTTGAAGCGTGCTGCTCTATGACTATGATTTTCCACCACTGACTTCCTGAAAAAATAACAGTAGCAGTTTCCCCTTTTTCCATGGAATAGAAATTTTAACATTTTCTTCTCGACTTTATTCTTGCTAATTAATAGCCATCGGAATTATCATCGTAAATAGAAATTGATGGTTTGATAATATGTTTGTCCACTATTACTTGGACCAAGAATGCGAATTTATTATGCTGTTTCCTTGTTTGAAGGAGGTATGCTGGTCACAAGAGAACCATCAGACCAAATGCCAAAAGGCTTAGTGCTTTGTTCACAGCACGAGATAAGATGGATTGGAGCACCTTTGCTAGAAAGGTGAAATCATGCCAAAGAGGATTCATGGGAGAACCTGAAGAGATGAGACCAGGAAGGGGAGAGTTTCATGAATATCCATCTGCCTGCATCTGCCAGAAACGATCCAAATATTCTGTTGTAAACAAAGATAAAGGATATAGGAACTTGGATAGATTCCTGAATGTTTCTGAGCCAGAATACGAGAGTGATGAAGATCAAAGTGAAAACAGACTTCCAAAACATAAAAATGGAAGCACTGGGAATAGAACAGTTTCCATTACAATGGCAGAAACTGACCACGATGATTTTTTGGCTGACTAAATGGTCACTACCCGGAACTTGTTGCCACGATCATGTTATTTTGCTACTGCTAGTTTCACTGGTGCAGAATATGGACTGTTAAAGCAAGAGCAATATGAGTTGTGCTGATATCTTTGTTTGAAACACTGTAGTGATCCATGTACATCAACAAATTTGTAACTTTTTTATAACCTGCAATTGTTCATATTCATATTTTGAAATCTGTTAAGGTTAGATATGAACCCATAGGGCTGTGCGGAATGTTTCTGGCGACCCACACAAGGCATAACGATCTGGGTATTGTCTCGGAGAGAGGCTCGGTGAAATGGACATGTTTGTGGAGACTTGGATTACCTGCACCTGGACAATTTGCACTCATTGGTGGTTCATGCTTAGGTTTTAGTATTGCTTGAAGGTGTAATTGGGATATTGGATTTCTCCATGGCATTTTACATTTCTATCCAACATGTTAATTGCATAGGTTATGCTTTGCCATTTCTTGAATGAGTAATGATGTTCATAGTAAAGACTACCGTAGGGAGACTATCGGTAGTTTTCACTATAAATAGCGTTATTCTTGAATTTAAGTTCTTGCATTATCCGATTAAATTAGCCCATTATATCAATCATATTTAAATATTCCTCAATAAATATTTTCGTTATTTCCATGAAATGCCAAATTAGTTTTAGCTATATCATTTACCATAGCAACGAGTTTTTCTAAACATTCTGAATTTTTCATTTTCTTTAATCTTTACTAAATATTTGTGCACATATCTATAATTTTATTTATTTATACATCTGTCCACTATTCATTCAAGTACTAAAAAATTGGTCAACTAAAAGACCTGGGTATTAATTTACTTAATCATGCACGGCGAAAAAATATTTTCTTTGTATTTAGATAGAAATTGTAATAGAAATTATACATTTATTGAATTCTGCTAACTCGTTTGCTTTTCTTGAATTCGAATAATCATGATCTACAATTTACAATTGTTCAATTGTCTAGTCTCCAATGAAAATTTCACACAAGGAACAAGATTGATAGAACTAGGATTTTTACTTTTCTTCTACTAGCAAGAATGTGAATTTTCTCTACAATTTTTCAAATCCTAGCAGCCTATTAATATAAGTTCAAACGGGCTTAGCTTATTTCTTACACTTAACCCGATCCAATATTTAATTAATCTAATTAATTAAATCAGGTCGATGAATTAATTAATCCAATTAATTAATTTGGCCTATTAGTAAGTAATTCAATTAATTAATTATTCAACACTTGTTAAATAATTAATTGGTGAATCTTATTCTTCTAGTTCTTTAGTGTGTGATCTATTAGGTTCCCAATTATGATGCCTGATAACGTGAATTATTATTTCAATTTAATCAAAATCGATAAACTAAAATACCTTAATTTATTACTAATTCATATTCGTCGTCCCAAATTGACATCTAGCAATGTGTTAGAGCAATATATATGATGAAAAATGTCACGTCTGATAAAACCAAACTTATTTGTTTACCGTGAAACTATAATCATTTTCGTCAATATGATACGATCTATTACAAGATATGGAAGTGTATCAACTCGATTATCGATTATATCTTTCATTCTACTACTCAGTCAATATAAGCCGAAAACTCATTTTTGACATATGAATGAATACCTTGGCCAATGATTTCGTTATCAACTCAACTAAATGAAATGTAGATCAAAATCTCTTACTATTTGAAAGTGACGAATTCTCTATTGATCATTCACAACTTTTATATGATTCTTGACATATCCAAACGATGTCGTATTAGCGCCATGACAGAGCAACATACAACATCACCAAAGTATGGCTGTCCGCATAAGGCACTATGATAACCTCAAGTCAAAGGACTAATTCACTACCGAATGCTAGAGATTAATCACTGATAGTTAGTTAGTTATCCATGTGGAATCTCCTAGCAGGTCTCCAATATTCTGATTTATAATAAAAATATTCACGTGTTCATTTAAGTGTCATTACACTTTAGCTTGTCAAATTAGTTACTTATTTTACAAGTAAGAAACGTTACACGTGATCGACTATCCGTAATAACGATATTCGTATCTCGTTATTACTTACAACCACTGCTGATTTAAGATTTAATCATATGTAATTTGTATCTCACAATCACAACTCTTTGTGATTAACAAATACTAAGATTTGAATATACGGATCCTATTATTTAATTTAATTGAATATTAATTAAATAATATATTTGCCATAAAATTACATCAATTGTATATTAAAAATACTTATGTTCAGAGTTGGTTGGACTTAGAGCATAATACTTAAAGTGGGTCACTTTAATCTTCTCTCTAGGAGCAAGACAATAAAATCACAATTTACATAAAGAAAAAACTGAAATGTTCAATACAATAGCTTCATTTGGAGCACATTTAAAATTGAGATGAGGCTTTTGATTGCTTGATCTGAGGGAGTCACTTTCCATTCAATGTGGTTATCTAAACTCTTAGCTAGAACAAAGCCTCCACTGAAGATGCATATATTCGTTGGCATAAGGTGTTCGTGAAATTTGAATTTGTTTTGAAGGTCTATAAACTTTATTAAACCAAACTGCTACAAATTTTTGGCAAAAGAAATCGAGGAATATAGTCAGATCATCTACATGTAGAATCAAGTGAAAAAAAAAAAGAAAGAAAAAAAAAGCCACCACTTGGGAGCCCACTTCGTTCCTCTCCTGGGGAATGAAGCGACAAGATCTACAGACTACAGTGGACATCGGTAAGTAACACTTTAATATTTGATAGTAGTGTTGCATTTGGAGCCCACTGAAGATCTGTCTTGAGACTCTGCACAACTCGGAGGGAATCAATTTTGATTACTGCTATTTTGAAACCAAGATCCCTAGCATGTGTAAGCACATCATACAAAGCTATTGCCTTCGCACCTCCAAGTCATAGAATCCCATTGTTTTCTTTGACTGGTTGCTAAAACTACTCCCCATTCATTACGGGTGACTGCTGCTGTTTTAATGAAGCCATGTTTTTTCCCTAAAGGCCACATTTGTGTTAAGTTTAAGTCCACTAGCTGGTAAAGATGCCCATCGTATCATTTTGTCTCACTTATCATTTGGTTGAATCTTAGTTGCCTTATGTCCCCATTCCATCATACAGTTGATTAGGTTACATAGATCTCATGGCACATCTCCACATATTATCCAGTTCTTGTTCACCCCCAAATACACCATAAAATGCACTTGAATTCGGCCAATTTCAACACCTTGCATTCTTTGGAGTAAGATGTCTCGTACATCATCAACACCAGAATAATACGAGTAAAATTGACTCAGTTAAGCCTCATCGACCACATGTCTCATGAATTGGTAACCTCCGTTTTCTAAGATTTTCTTTATTTGGTAATGCTCCATGAAAAATTCTCCAAAAGAATATTCAAATTTTAAGAGGCCTTGGAAATTTCCAAATACATTCCACCATGTCATTGTTGTCAAATTACTAGAGCCTTCCACAGTTGACTCTCTTGCTACCAAGATCCGATGGCCATTTCTCACCGAATATTCCTCATTAGCCTTGAAATAGTTATGAAATGAACCTCATTGTCCTCTTGGCGGTATAAGAGGTGTCTGCTTCTCTAATAAACAAATGTTACCTGTAAAATGAGGTTGGAGCTTTCTCCCATGTTATACCTTCAACGTGAGAATTAGTAAGTGATTTAGGAATGTAGACTTTGGAAGAAAAGATGGAATGTGTATTCAAATAGCCAAAGTTTTTTCAAGATCCATACTTGTCTTACCTTAGGAGTATTTATAGGTGATTGAAACTGTTTTGCGCGGGTTGTCGCTAACAATTAAAAAGGGACCAGACGATTGTGTAAGGAACAAACCTCTTGAGACAAAGTCCCAAAAATGGATGTTTTATTGGTGATGACTTTACAATTGGAACTTAAACAGAATGCCTCCAAGGGGCGCAAGCACACGAGTACTGAAAAGAAATATTTTAAGTCTAAATTAATGAATTGAAATTACATATTCTCTGTTTGAGAGTGTTTTATTCGGGGTACTTTGCTCTATGTCTTTTCTTTCTTTTATATTCCTTTGATGATCTCTTCGTAATCAACCGCTCAGAAATCGCTTAATTGCTTTATAACTGCCCACTTTCTTCATGGTGGCCAACTTATCGTGGAACTGTCGTCCCTAACTGCTGCCACTACTCTTTGTCGTTCAACCGTTTTCAACTGAACATCCTTGAATCGTGGAACGTGACAAGATTACCCAATAACTGCTTCGATAACTGCACTTTTGGATAACCATAACATCTTATGTTTGCTAAGATCCTAGGCGATTTGAAAGTTTGGGCGAGAACAGGGTCATAACTCTGGGCGACTGCAAGGCACTTCATTCGCTCAGATCTTGGGTGTCTTGCAAGTTTCGGCGATGATGTTACCGTGTTCGTGGGCTTCCACTGCATTCATTGATAACCCCATTCGGGCATTTATCCTGAATTGCCCAGTTGGGCTTCATTCTTTAGGCTATTCGATTTGGGCTGCACTTTTAGCGTGTCAACAATTACTCCCCAATATGGCATAATTAATACCAATTATTAATTTTTGCCATATTTACTGTGTTTCCCAGCAACATTTGAAATTCCCAAGAATTTCAATCATTATTTTCTTCCATAGCCTGAAAAGGCGTGACGTTGCAAACCCTTATAACCCCCAAATACACGCCATTTCGTCGCACTATTAAATCATGCCTCATTGTTTCGCGCTTCTCTCTCACAATATTATTGTTCATCTTCTTGCTTCTCTGCTACGTTTCTCAAGCAAACTTCAACAAACTTTATTTCGTTCCTAATGGCTGCTTCACAATCCCAATCTGATGACTCTTTCAGTTTCGAAGACTTCTAGAAACTCCTCGCTCTGCCATATATAACTCCGAACTTTCTTGCACCAGCCAATGCCGAACTCAACGAGTTCTATCTAGGTCCTTCATTCAACAACGCCGAGGTCGTCGAACAAGTGATGTTGGGCCAACTGTTCCCTTGTACTCTAGGCCCTCCATTTCTAAACTCTTTGCCGATGAGGCCGCTTCGCGAAAGAGGTATTCGCACTTAGCCTAAATCTGATATTGTTTTTCGTAGATGACATGCTCGCCTTGTGGACTATTGTCCTACCAAGGCAATTTTTGATAGTGCTAGGATTTCTGATTTGTTAGAAATCTCTCTTCAACCCCCTACTTTTGATCCAGCGCTTTTCCCTATTGCTTTAAGTTTTTGGTCCTCTGAGTATAATACTTTTGTTTTCCCTCTTGGTCCCATGTCCATTACTTTAAGGGATGTTGGGGCTTTAGTAAATCTACTACCTTTGGGCGATACCATTTTTCCTGGTATTTTGATTTCTGGTGTCGCCCCAAAATTTGACAGAAAACTCACTGAGTCCTGTTCAAGCCTGCAAAGTTGTCATAAT